CAGCATGCACTTAATTTGAGAGTTTAGTGACATTGCACACACATTTGTACACTAGATAGGGGTGAGGGGCACTGATTCCAGACTACACAGAGTGATTTAGATAGTCATCACTAGTCCACATTAACCTCTTTGTATTGTAAATGTTATTGCATGGCATATCATCATAGATTAAAATGGCTTCCTCTGGGACTATCTACTGTATAGTATCTTGTAAATTTGCATAAATTGATTGTGGGCAGGATAACCAAGAGATTTGTCCTGCTCCAAGCATACATCCTTCAATACATTTCTTGTTTTCGCACACGTCACATGGAGTGTTTGGCATTTGGTGTCAGATCTGTTAATTTAGCAGTGAGGTGATGGCATTTACTGTGTGTGCAGCTTCTCTCGTACAAACTTCCATTAAGAATTAAATTATCTCATTAGATGAACAGAGAACAGAGAACAGAGCTTGGAATTTCAATCCTCAACTCCCACGTTTCACCATCCAGTTTACACAAATTCTTGGAGAAAAACTCATTATTTTCAGTAAGATTTTTCTTCCTACTTAGCCATCTGCAAATACAAAGCCCAGGGTAGAAAACAGGCCAAACTCGAAATGATGACCCTTGACATACTCGAAAGCGGGAGAAATCTCAATGTATCTTTCCTGGTAAAATAGTTTATAAATAAATAAATGTCCTGCTCCATGAATCTTCTGTCTTATGTGCAATGATTGCACAGATTTAGCCCAGATATTGCACATGACAATTTTATTAACGTGTGGACTTTATGCATCATTCCACTAGCTGTGAGCCATGGGTCTGTGACATATGGATGTGAAAATTTTGATTGCGATTTGGTGTATGACTAGCAAGGTTAGTTGCAGAAGGGAGGGGTGGGAAAGAATTGTTTAAATTGTAGATTATACTAGTTTTAGTGTAACTATAATCTTAATTTTATTAATGACAGGAGACAAATATTTGCTTAAGTCTCTCTTTACTAGAACTCCACAGCAGCACATTAACATAGAGATAAAAACACCAGAGACAAAAAATCAGGAATCTATAAAAGGCTTCTCCCAACTAACTATTTCCTCTTTCATTCTGCGACAAATAAAGTACATGAACAATACACCACAAATACAATAACAGGAGAAACAAACATAACGATGAATTCCATCCGAAATTGAAACCGTGGAACCAGTGGGTGAAGCCTTGACCTTTATCCTGTAGAGTAGTCAGATCTAAGAACTGTAGCCAAACCATTAAACTGAAACGAGATAAACAGAGTCGAAACACTGATTAGCGAATGAAATGTACTGAGAAAACATGAATCCCCATTGTAAAGACTGACAGTATAATATCACAGATAGTGAAAAAAAACAGAATCCCCATCATAAAATACTGACGGTACCATATCCCAGATAAACCCCAGCTCCCCCAGATAACCAACCTAGCCCAGGAGACCAGGTTAACAACAAGTCTGTCAAACCAACAAAAAACAAGGGGAGGGAGAAACTGGGAGGGAAATATTCACCTCCTGTCATTAATAAAATTAAGTTTATAGTTACACTAAAGCTAGTATAATCTACAATTTTATAGCATGACAGGAGGCTTCATGTGCTGTTACACAGTTAATATTCTCATTATTGTAGATGCAATTTACATAGCATATTCTGTGATTTATTTACCTTGTATTTTTGCTGCCTCCTTTTGGCCCTTTTTGGTAATGCCCTTGTTCCTCCTGTGAGCATCATACATAATTTCCTTGTATGTAAAACTCCGCCCCTGTTCTTGCTGTACTTCCTGTGTCATGGCTGCTTGCATTTGCCTCATGTAACTGGGACTCTTGTATCCCACATGCTAAGCTAAGGAAAGCATCATCTTTTGACCGCATAATACTGAAATCCATTCATTCTGCTCTATTCCTGTTGTGTGATGTTCAGAATAAACCAGCTTTTGAATGAAACCAGTATTGGTGAGTTCAGCTATCTGAGGAGGATTGTCTGCAGTGACTGTACCTGCTTATACAGGCCAGGCACAGAGGTCTCACAAGGGGTTAGATCACTATCACAACAATCCGAGTCAGAATACTTCATATTTGCTGTTTTAACGCTCGGACAGCAAAGACCAAAGAAACACGATTCGCCGTACCAACCTAAACTCTGCAAAGATAGCTCCTCGTAACAGGCAGGAAAGCGTACGATGTCTAGGAGAAAAAACGCCCGCCATGTCGGTACCTGAAGTCACCGTGTTACGGACTGAAGTGAACCGAAAAAACCTATACGCCCCACCAATGCCAACCACAACCAAGTGGTACATGAAGGGCGAGAAAAAGGGAAAAAAACATTTAAACAAACAGTGACGTCAAACACCGCCTAAAGGTGGGAGAGCTACCAAAGTAAAAATATGACCCTCGAATCCGACTAAGGCTGATAGACAACTAAGGTCCGAACCGCCGAACCCATCTGAAAGAAAAACAAGGTATAATAATGGAAATAACTCCAGAATCAGTGAATGGGCAAAACCCGACAGAACCCACCATAGGAGCATGACAAAAACGCATGTACCCCCTGGGGAGATGAATACCCGTCCTCAGGAATCGTAAAGGGAATTCTAAGCAGAGCGAGGCCCGTTGACAGTCGTATGCGCTACCTATTCTAATTAATATGGCAGTCCTAGGTAATAAAGTGACCGAACAATACCCGAACCCTGTAAAAGCGGTAGCAAAATTAGGAGATCCGTATCAGACCCAACTACGTCAGGGTCGCCATGCAGACCAAAGTCTCACAATCCCCGAGATCAAATGAGCAAGGGTCCAGGGAATCCAGGAACTAGGTTTGACTTGTCCGAAGCGGAGATCAAAATTCCAAAATACCAGCAGACCGAGGCACCTGTAGAAAGGTCCTGAGACCAAACAAACGGAGGAGACTAGTCCGCTTCTCCGTGTCGAACACTCCTGGAGGGAAGTGTCCATTGCTGAGCAAACGGGTCCGTCATCCAGCCGAACTGGTTGGGGCCTGATGGGTCCTCCTCTTGACGCTGGGTCCTCCCAGAGAAACTATTCCATACGTATGAGAACTCGGGTAGAGGAGAGCGTAGGAGGAGCCCCCTTGCATCCAATCCGCCCTCCAGGACTCTACGCCTTGAGATGTAGAGGAGGTCAATATTTCCCTGGTTGAAACGAAATCCAGGGACTCTAACAAGGGAAAACGCAGGGAGCGTCTGACCTTTCGGTCTGGGAGGTACCTCGCAGGGAGTCCGGCAAGCCTGTCCAAGTAGACCGTACAGCAAGATATCCTATATCGATGAAGAGTCGCGTCCGGATCCCAACGCGTGGAAAACGAGAACGATCTCTTCAAATAGTTCTGGAATTCCTGAATGTCCTCAATTCCTCCCAACCTGCCAACCAGGTTGTATTGTCACCCAAATGACTGATGCACAAGACACCTATCTCACCAGGGAGAAAATAGAGGCCACCTTACCAGAACTGGGCCCCGCGGTCCCTAGAAGTTTCTTGAGGGCCGCGTCTAATTCAAAGTAACCAATGAATATACGTTCAATCGTAGACTCGTGCTGGGACTCCGAGGGGCTCAGATCCCTTTATCCCAAGCACCTCCAGCGGACCAAATTGCGTTTAGGATAAGGTCGTCTGCCACCCCAGACTCGGGGCCCTGTCTGGGATGTCATCCGAAAGTGGAGACAAGTGTGAAATTCCGGGTCAAGGGTCCAATCCCCTATAAAAGGTACGGGTTGGAGCTGAGATAAGCCTCCATCAAGTATTTCCATGTAAAAAAGGACACATATTATACTTCCTTGTATGTTCCGCTAGCACAACTCACTTGTGTAGCGGAAAACAATCGGCTTGCCAGTGCGGACTTAATAGTATAGGCACTGCAGTGGGCCGCACTCAGGATCTCCTGAATACTAGGCAGGTTCTTAACCAGGAAAACTGCAGTGCCCCATCGGGGTCTAAGTCTGGGTTTGCGGCTACTTAGTTTGGGAGCCCTGATGGGAATACCGCTTGAATTATCCTGCGGGCTTCTCAAGCCAGCGGTCTACGGGCCCATAAACACACCAATGGTGCTAGGTGATTGGGCAGAGACCATTCCAAAGAAACCAGATGAGCAATGGATCGAGGGTCGAACAGGGGTTCGTTTAAGGCGATCCACGAGATGACCTCTTCTTCCACAGTTGTCGGGGCCCCTGTAGTGGACTTTGTTCCACATCTCATGGTGCCACTAGGGGCCATCATCATAATCCACACCCCCATCGTCCTCTCCTTCCGAAGGGAACCGGTCCATCCGCCATTCACCTAGGGCGGCCATGGTGTGGGGGGGGAGTTACGGGGACCTTTACCCCTGCGCCACATAGGCAGTGTCGTCTGGCCGTCAAGGCCGATCGTATCAGGGTTAGACACTTCTCCGGAGTCTAATCTTTCCAGGCATCTGGTTCCGGGCCTTCACCCTACCCATAGTGCTTATGCGCCCTTGCCTGCTCTCCACTTGGAGAGTCTGACTCATTCAAGTTGTCTTCCTTTTTAAGAAGGTGGTCACTGCTGCGTCTGGTGGTCATAGTCTCCCCCGCGCCATATAGGCAGGGCCGTCTGGTCGCTTGCAGAGGGGCTAGCCGCTCCTCGGAGTCTTATCTTTCTGGAAGCCTGGTTCAAGGCATTCACCCTTCCAGTAGCGATCATGCGCACTTGCCTGCTCTCTTCAAACAGAGTCTGACTCATTCAAGTCACTGGTTCAGGGCCTTCACCCTTCCAGTAGTGCTTATGTGCCCTTGCCTGCTCTCCTAAAGGAGAGTCTGACTCATTCAAGTCGCCTGCCGGTTTAAAGGTGGGCCCTCAAGCGTTACGCTCCTGATAAGCTTAAGGGAGGACCCTGGCTGAAGCCTAATTCCACGGAGGTGGTCACTGCCATAGTAGTCATTGTCTGCGCTGTTAACCCGGATAAGGGTTCCCCTGTGCAACGGTCCCAGGCAAAGCGACCTCAAGGAGTATAGAGGACAAGTGTCACTATAACGGATCACCTGGCACCCCGACTGGGTACCTCCGTTGAAGGATGCTCCTAGCGCTTCCTGAGGACTCCAAGCACTCTGGCAGACACCACAATCACCGAACCGGAGAAACAAATAAATTCTCCCAAGCATGTGAATGCTGTAGACAGTTGAATAGGAACCATACGAATAGGTTTACTCTCCTAGCAGTCAAACTGGAACAGCATACAATAAATCCTTCCCCCAATAATGAGACGACACTTCACTTTGAGGGTTAAAACAGGAACTCCTGTACTGTCACATACAGTCTCTTTTATTCCCAATCCACAAACATAGTACAGCCCACAGGGCGTTACAAAACAACCAATCAATCCGTACAATACACCCAGACACTCCCACACAAACTCCTCCCCTCTGCCTGTGATATGATTACTGAACACAATGGGTAATCTCATTATCACCGGCAGAGGAATACAGTTTTTACACAATATTTATTGTGCCACTAGGGGCCATCATCATAATCCACACCCCCATCATCATCATATTCTAAAATATACATGTCACAAACATAAAACATACATTTTCATAATCAATCCATTCAGGGGAACAACATATTAAAAAATGGCACGAATCAGACTAGGGGTTCAAAAGTTAAGGGAAAGTCCTTTGTGACTAAATGAAGCAGGGCTTTCCGGCCCAAACCAGTTTCAGAGTCTTCTATCCTGGAGATTGAATTGAGAAGTAATTCAATTATCTCCCAGGACAGACACAAGACTCCATTATGCACATGGTGAGCACAAAGCATTAAAATATATTATATATATATAAAATATTATAAAATACACAAAGTCACATTTTATACATAAAACACAGACATGTCACATATCCCCAGATAGCTGGGATCTGAGTGCACAAAACTACCGAATTGCGCTCAGATCCTATTCACACAGTTCAATTGCCATGGAGCCGAAGTCTTTAACTACACGAATGGGCTCCATGGCATAGCTATCTGGGTTAGTACATTCACATAAAGTCTGGTCCATAGTCCAAAGGCAAGAGGCGGGCAAGCAGCCCCCTTCATGGACACGTGGCGAGGCCGGTTTCGCCACAGTCACCGGCAGGGAGATAGGGGCAGCACCCCATATAGTGACCGAGGCAAGTTGGGCAGCTCATGCAATGCACAAGCGTGAGTATGTGGCAGTAGGCTTGGCATGCAGACATTCTGGCACAGACAGCACAGGCCAGATCAATGGGGCACAGAGAAAGCAGGCCAATCAATGGGGCACAGGCAAAGCAGGCCAATTAGTAAGGCACAGACAAAGCCGGTCAAGTCCTGGGGCACAAACAAGTCAGGACCTTCAGAGATGTACAGGTGAGGAACTGCGCATTCCATTCTTCAGATAAAATGTACCTTTCGCTCTTCAGATAAGATGTACATAACACTTCTTCAGATTAATAGCACATAACACACTTCTGTGTAACTGTAATTAACACTCTTCTGTGTAACTGTAATTAACATCCTTCTGTGTAAACATACAATACGTTCTTCTGTGTAACCGTACCTAACGCTCTTCTGTGAAACTGTACGTAACACTCTTCCGTGTAACTGTACATAACACTCTTCCGTGTAACTGTACGTACATAACACTCTTCTGTGTAACTGTACATAACACTCTTATGTGTAACTGTACATAGTATATTACTGTGTAACTGCACATAGTATATTACTGTGTAACTGTACATAGCATTCTCCTGTGTAACTGTACATAACATTCTTCTGTGCAACTGTACATAGTATATTATTGTGTAACTGTACATAGCCTTCTACTGTGTAACTGTACATAGCATTCTCCTGGGTGACATTACCTAGCATTCCATTGTGTAACTGTAGATAACGCACTTCAGTTAAATAGTGCCTGACACTCCGTAAATAGTAAACTTGCATATTGAGTACACCTGTAGTCAGGAAACTCACCAACGGAGTTACCTCACAAGAGGTGCTCCATTGGTCAATATGATAAAACAGAGTGCTGCAAGCAATCATGTGAACAAACTAAAAGGGGGGGATGAGTATAAGTGGTAACACTACCAGCTGTGTCTGTAACCCTTGAGGGGTTGTGCACAGCTCTATATAGCAAGCCTGTGATCTATACCATCCACTATGGTCCCCAGTAGCCTAACCTGCCAGACACATGGGGCACAAAGCCAGGACAGCCTGAGGGTGCAATGCACCAAGTCATAGCTCAGTCCCAGTCAAAGCTACAGCACATGTGCCTGCCATCGACGGAACTAATGCGGTAAGTCTGGAAACTGGCCGGCCCCACCCCCACCCGACGATGCGGTTGCTCGGGGCCGCCGCACTGCATGGGAAGGTAAACCCCCACACACCCACGCCGCGGGATCAGTTATACTGCGAGCAGAAGCTTGGGTCGGGTGGGGGGTGGAAGCAGAGGATCTCGCTCGGCGGACCACCGGATTCTTCGGCCGCAAACGGACGAAAAGTGAAGGGGGCAAAGCCACACAGAAAAGGTAGAGGGAGGGAAAAAAAACCACACCCGAGAAAAAAACAATCCCCAGACAGGGGGGCCCAAAACAGGAAAATGCAGAAAAGTCATAAGAGAAAATACATCCCTACAGCAAAAAAGTAGGGACAGAAAAATACAATCTAAATAAATAAATCATAATGGCAGTAGGAAGGTAAACACATTCTAAACAAATAAATCCCTGCAGCCATAAGAAGGTAGATGCAGAAAAACAGAGTAAATAAATCAATCAATCACTAGAGCACTAAGCAGGTAGGTGAAGAAAATACAGTATAGCTAAATAAATCAATCAATCACTAGAGCACTAAGAAGGTAGATGCAAAAATACCCTCTAAACAAATAAATCAATACAGTAATAAACAAATAAATACAGTAAAATATCCACAACCACCCATATATAACAGGAGGCAGTGGTACTCTGACCTGTACTGACTGCGGAGCAGCAAAGAAAGAGGAAATAGTTAGTTGGGAGAAGCCTTTTATAGATTCCTGATTTTTTTTTTGTCTCTGGTGTTTTTCTCTCTGTGTTAATGTGCTGCTGTGGAGTTCTAGTAAAGTGAGACTTAAGCAAATATGAAGCCTCCTGTCATGTTATAAAATTTGTGTCATTCTAGCGTTACTCTAAAAGTTTATTACTTTGCTGTCTTTTTATGCAATCCAATGATGTTTTTGCATTTTCCATTTCTCTTCTTTTAGAATTTAACTATACTACAAGGTATTTAAATGTAATAATTTAAAGTAATACTGAGATGTTGTACAGTTTAAAGCAATACTATAGGATCAGGAACACAAACAGGTATTCTTGACCCTATAGTGTTAAAACCACCATTTAGGTGGCGTACCTTATTTCCAGTGCTGCATGGGTCTGCCGGTGTTGGCCTCACCCCAGATCGCCTCCTTGCTGACATCATCAGAATTTAGGATTTCAGCCAATCTAAAGCTTTCCCATAGGGAAAGCAATGGATTGCCTGAAATCGGCAAGGAGGTGGAATGGGGGTGGGCCCAAACAGCGTCTTGGCCAATTAGCACATCCTCATAGAGATGCATTGAAAAATTCAGCATCTCAACGCAGAGCACACCACCAAGAAGCACCTCCAGTGGCCATGTGAGTATCCTTCCTCACACACACAGTTTCTGTTGCAAAAAAACAGTAACTCAATCTATTGCTACTGATAAGTGTGTGGTAGAAAAAGCATGTGCTTTTAATGAATATGTCATGAATAAACCTGCAGTTTCCATTCACCCCTTTATTGATGACTAGCGATCCAGCTGGTTTTGAACAGGGCAGGGCATCTAAAGATGTTCAATGGGCAGAGCCCTATAAGAAGGTTTTGATTTTGCCTGTTTGGAGGTTTTAGAAGAGTGTTTCCAGACCCATGCTGTTTTAGTGAATGTTAGAACAGGCAACTTATTTCATGCCACAGGCAATGGTCTATAATACACTGGCTACTGTAGCAGCAATGCCTTCCTAAAAGAAAAGGACACTTTAGTAATGTGAAGATTCTAATGAAGGTATTTTGAAAAAGTCATTTTGCTATATTCATATAGTATATTAGCTCAAAAACGAGTAACTAAAGTAATTTAAAAATTTGCAAAATGCGTTGCCAAGTCAATGCTGCATACAAAATTTGGGTCCTTGGTGAGGTGATTTACAGTTTTAGCACTTTTTTGTCTTGTTTTTGTAGTTAGAAAATAAACTACTTGATACTTTTCAACTAGGTGTTTCATTGTTTGGAGAGCAGTGGTAAATCTTATCTGTCATTTTTAAAAATGTTATTTTCCTGAATTTGCAATAATATATCATTCAACTAGTGCTGAAATTCATTACATTAAAGGCATAGCTGCACACGAATATATAACTCCCTTTTCCTTAGATTAATTTTTATGTGCTGTGGGAACTGTGCTAATTAGAGTTTACACTATAAAACTTGTGTGACCAATCAGAAAGGGAGTTCAGATACAGAGTTTGGTATGATAAACAGTTTGATTACTGCAATGTTACATCTGACGTGTCAAGTTTATCATTAAGCACCGTCCCACAGTCCCAGCGGCTAATGCGTTAATAAGAGAAGTATCTCAGAGATAAAAAAAAAAATCCTGTACATTTAGGTCACCAATAACATCAACAGTGAGTGGTAATTTATAATTTCACATTGAGTGGAGATTAGAGAAAAAGAAGGGCAGGAAACCATCAGATTACCTAATTACATTTGAATTGTTCTCTTTTATTTGCTGTCCACAGGGATCATTAGTCAGACCCTCCAGTGAGAATGAGATCCAAGAGAAAGTGGTAAAAATAAAAATTAATAAAAATGAATTTTAAAAAATTCATTGCAACAGCTGTTTTAACTCTCTCCTTTCTAGAACCAGGTTTAAATGCGTATGTTTATCGGGTTATAATTTCCGTCATCTACTGTGAGAGAGAGATGGCAATAATCCCTCCATGTAGTTTACTTATGATCAGTTAGCACTGAAGCCGTTAAATAATGATATTTGAAAAGTTTATTTGTTTGTTTGGTTGATGTAAGAACTTCATTTTTGGAGTGCTGGAACACTCACAATTATGCTTAGCAGCAACACTGGTCAGAGGTGTGATTCCTTGTTTCCTCCCATGCTTCTCTGACATCAGTGATTTTGCATGCATACATATGATGTCATACTAAGTTGTTGTGAATCTCTGCTGTTGGTGGATAACCAATTAAGCCGATACTGAGAGATCTGTTCAGTCAGAGGCACAGATCATACTTCTCTCACATCCTGTATTACAAGAGAATGACTATCTTCTAGAAAACGTTTGCAGTAACTTCCACACAACCAAGCCCTCTAAATCTACAAGAATCTAAATTATTCAACCTACCCCATTATTTATCACCTCCATGTTTTACCGAAATGGCTATTCACTAAAGGGACAATTCAAAGTGAATTCAAAGTGAAATGTTAGACCAAAGAAGCTGACTTGAAAGCATACCCGACCCAGACATATTTCTCCAATGCAGCTATTTTGACCTTAGTTGTGAAATTTACTTTGAATTCTCACTTCAGTGCATAACATGTCAATTGTATTCAGATTCATGGTAGCATTGTCAGATAGTCACTGGAAGTCAGTCACCATCACCAACTGCATCATATGAAAAAAAAGAGAAAATATAAAGGAAAACATTGTTGATTACTCAAAAACACTTAAAATAAGACTTTCCACAATTCGGATGCTTCCACTCTGCAATTTTAGAATTCAGAAAGTTCATAGTGATTTCTTGTACCAGCTGAATTTTTAATAAAACAAAACTCTACTGTAATTTTAAAATCGATACAACAGTGTAGAATTATTTACAAAGGAAATAAAATTGGGACATTGTATATCCTGACAGACTATGTAGCGTTTAAACATGATTGACCTCAGGGCGACTCATCAGGGTCCCTTGGTCACGACAGTGGCTTGTTAACCAGGTTACAAGGCAATCTTTCATCTCAGCAGTAGCCAGCTCACTGTTCCTAGCCCTTCTCTGCTTTCAACTCACGTAATCAATTTCCTTAATTAGTTTTTAATCAGAAAAAGATTACCAGGTACCTGCAAGTTTGAGTCACGTAGGTGCTTCATTATGATGCAAGTGAGATTTTTTTATGTAATAAGACAGTCGTTCTCGTTGTGAACAGAGAACACATAAATAAGTCCATTCATCAAGTTGGGGAAACATCGGAGAGAGGATGTAACAAGGTATCTAGTTACGTGTAACAATTTTACACTCAGAAGATGAGCCTCTTAAATTTCGATACTGTGGGTTTTTCAGTTAATATGTGAAAACAAAAAAAATATTGATTTCCATAAAATATTAAGAACTTCATATATTCACATTTACCAATCATTTTTCTGAATTAAATGTGGGGCTAAAAGGACACACTAAGCATTAAAACAATATCTTAATTAACTCGCTTTGGTGGAGAGAACATGCAGTCAGACTTCTCATTTTTGTCCATTTTGGTGTTTTTTGACTCACACAGCCTCCTTACACACTTCCTGGAAAAAAGCTCAAATGTTTTAATTTCCCTTATTGCATAATGTGTTTATCTCTTGATTTGCTAATCGCATGCTAGAGTTTGCAGCAGCCTCCTGTGTGTGATTAAAGTTTACTTAGAGGAAATCTATAGTGGTAGGAATGCAAAGTTGTATTTCTAACACTAGAGTTCCCTCTCGCCTCCCTCTCCATTGCGCCCCACCCCTTTGTAGTACATAAAGGGTTAAAAATAACTTATTTACTAATCCGATTCCAGCGTCGATCTCCTTTGGTGCTGGGTTGGTATTCTGGGTGGGTGGGGTGCATGGGCCCCAGGTAAGTCACCCTCCTGCACCTAAAAGGTAGGAAACAGGAGGGTGACTAATTTTTTTTTTTAACAGTGTGTGTGTGTGATTGTGAGAGAATGTCTGTATCGGTATATCTGTGTCTGTGTGTGTGTGTCTGTATGTGTATGTCTGTGTGTCTGTATGTGTGTGTGTGTGTATGTGTCTGTATGTGTGTGTGTGTCTGTGTATCTGCATGTGTGTTTATTTGATCTTACACCAAAACTGCTTCATTAAGATAAAGTTGTTTTGGTGCTTAGAGTATCCCTTTAAAGAAGAACTCTGTAAGGCCTAATTTATATAGTCATGTAAAATGTAAAACCAAGCAATTAATGAATGATTGCCAAGCACTTTTCTAGTACAGATGTGTAGTTAGTGTACAGCAGTGACCATAAAATGACAACGTAAAGATTTAGCAACCTCACATTTCACATTATGAACATTATCTCTCTGAATTATAGTACATACAAAGCAAAACACTAAATACCATTAAAATAACAAGCGGACACTCCAAGTTTAGATTTCACTGCCTATATATTTTCTATATTTTATTTTAAAGAAAATCTTTGGCCAATATGACCTCTTTTCAATATATTTCTTTCTTAATCTACTTGGACCAACTATGTATAATTAAGTAATAACGGCTTGTTTATCTGGTCTTAAGTCAGACTTTAAAAAATAACAAAAAAAACCCCACCATTTTTTATTTTGTAGGTTTTTGAGTAACAATCAAAAATAAATTAAAAAGTATATCATAATATATATATATAAATACTTTGGTAGCGCACTCTATACATACTGTTGAATGTTCTCTAAAGAAGACGCCTAGAGTTATTTAGCTGACATTCAATTTGAAGTAAGACTATAGAAGACAGAGCTGGTGAGCTAAACTGCGGATGAGTCACAGAGCTTGATGACGCCTTCCAGAACAGCTGAAGTGCCCAAAGGTTATATATCATATTGCCACTGTATGTGCATGGTAATACATGAATATATTACTTAGTATATTGTTTTGCATTTCGACATATTGGCGAGCCAGCCACATTTCCCATGTGAATAAGTAATTTAAATTGTACTTCTAATTTTATACGTTACTTTGAAATCTACATGGTTAAATGTGCAAATTAACATCAACATTTAAAATTCTTAACTGTACCCAAAAGGGGTTAATTACATTGTCTCCCTCTCTCGCTGCCAAATCATATATTTTGTAATCAAGGATGGCATGCCAAGGGTTAAAGAGGAAGGCAAACATATCTTGGAATAACTCTGCTGGCCTTACACGGCATGCAGGCAGATAATTAAGAAAACAATTCAATCTCATTAGTAAATGTGATGGGGTCTGGGAGAGAGCGATGCTGGCGTAATTGAAATGAGCTGTTCCCTGGGGAGTGAGGGTCACTTACCCTCTCACAGACCACTGGCATTTTTGGATTTTCAAGGAAATAATTTTGATCTTCCAACGGAGGAAGACAAAAGCTTTTATTTCTTTCTTTTTTTTCCTTCTCATTTTAATTCCTTACCAACCATATGGATGTGTGCATGCCAGAAAAAAAAACATGCTTTCTGCTATATGAAAAACAAACAGTCTTCATGTTTACTAGAATGCATATGCTTCCAATCATTCTAGGACTGCTTGCTGTGGCATTCAACCACTAACACTGTGTGTTGCTTAGGGTGATGGTTGTTTTTATCCATTACAACAATTTCTCTCTTAGTTTAATTTCTTAGGGTAGGTTTCTTTACCAGTGATAGAAGGGCTACACACATCGTCTTAATCACACAAACATAAATTGTTATGCTGTGAAATAGACAATGTTACAGATCTTTTTTCTGCCTTACTGGAGGCAATAATACTATATTGGATATAGCATGGCTGTTTTTTTTTTTTTTAAAGGACTAACCCTTGGTTGCAAGACCTTTATTCCAGAAAAAAACAAACTCTCGACCCTCTGTACCAGCTGTGATTATGGCTTTGTAGCAGGAGGTAGGCCTCACAAATTCCCACTGTAAATCCACTGTATATTTCTTTGTAAATATGTGTTCTCGTTTCTTTCTCCACAGGGGTCACCATTTGTGTATCTGTGCATAATTGAACAGTACATTTGTTCACTGTTGGAGACGAATGTCCAGACTTTATGAAAAGCCAAGTCATGAAATAGAGATACTTAGCGGTAGAGAACAGCTAGGACCTAGACACACGTGGTTTGTTCTTTATAATACTTAATAAAACTAATGTATGGCAGCAATTGGCACAGCTCTCTGGTGGAGCAGTGTTTCTGAAAAAAAAAAAAATGTTTTGCCTCTGCAGTGAGGTGTTGGGCCTGTAGGTAAATAACACTGTGAAGGTTGTTTACTAAACAGGGTATTGTGGCGTCTGATAGGGACATTGCAAGTTTTTGGCCAAAATGGAAGAACTGAAAAAAACTTCTTAGCTAGCTATTTTTGCAGAATATCTCTTTTGGTTTACAATGTGCAATTCTTTTGTCAATTCTCCACAATTTACTTTTACCATTTCCATTATTTATTTTTTTGTTTTCTGAAAGCGCAGTCATTTTATTTGAACTATTTTTGACAATACCAATCTGTAGAACCAACCTCTTTACATTTGAAAGAAGCACTGAATATTGTTCCCTCTATTAAGAGTACATTTTTACACTGAACATATGTGTTTATTAAATGATGGGATCTGTAATTAATAGCGCTAGCTTGTCCTGCTGTAAACAAATACGTTCAATGACAGAGAGACTGAGAACAAATTATTAAAATTATATTCTTTTGGTCTGTGATGTTCCTGTCACAATTTAGAAACAGAAGGAGGACTTTAACAATAAAGTACACAAAGTGGATTGTGCCAGGAAGAAAAGCAAGGCCGTGGCGGTTAAGTGTGGCACTCCAGATGTCTGTGAACTACACTTCCCATAATGCTAAGCTGGCGGTCTAAGCAGCATGAGGAAGAGTTCTCAAAACATATGGATTGCCAATGTTCGTAATACTTTCTTTGAGCAGATACAGTATTGCAAACACTGTAAAATCAATTAGTTTTTTAAGGCCCATTTTGACGATGAAAAATCTTGGAACATTAAAATATTCAGCAAAAGCCTGGCATTTCTATTTAAACATTTATACATTTTGGAGTGTTCCCAAGCATGGTAATTCTTACTGAAAAGGCCAGGAAAATGGTAGGAGTGACAGGCGGATGTTACATTAGTGTAACACTTAAGAAGCAAGAATCTTGGCAGAGCCGGGAGTGCTGTGGAAGTGGGGATTTATTTATTTAATATTTCCTTAAGGAATAACATACATAGCATAAGTAGAAGATATAGTCAGCCTATCATGACAGGTTTACTTTAGTCTGTATGGGCTTCCTCGACTAAGTTTGTAAAGAGCCTGTTATTTTGTTTGTCAACCGCCAATTTGCTTAGATCCAGTAGTGCTGTATTATTTAATAATTATTGTTATTTTTACCACCTTCATCTTGTCGCATACTGCACGTCTTCTGTTCTATGTTTTCTATTCCCCAGTTATCATCTGAGCCATGTCCTTGAGAAAATAGAAATTGCTATAGTGCACTAATATATTGAATCTGGGGTGATTTATTGGTGACCCCAAACTCTTACAGAGCTTGCTACTGTATTTTATCAAATACACTTAACTCAGTATTATATAGCCAGAAAAGGCAATAAGAGATAAGTCCTCCCAAAAACGCTAAACGTCAGGATGAAGAAGTTGCTGAAAAACAAATTATGGAAGAAATTGAATATCTGCTTAGTAAACTAGAGGGGAAAATATAAACGCATAAAAAAAATGGAGATGGGAACATCTGCTTTAAAGACCTAACAGAGCATAACTCACATGCAATAAAAAGCTTCCTGACGTATAAAGCTTTTGGGTGCATATAATAGGGCACAGATTAACTGCCTGATCTCTGAAATAGAGCTTTCTTACGGGTCAGCGCCTCTTATTTAGCTCAGCGGTGTATGTACATACTCTATATTGCTGCGAATGCACAACGAATGCACAGTTTGTTCCAGTGCTGACATGATTATAAATAAAACAAGCCTTGCTGGTGCTGTAGTAAAGTCAGATGGGCAATCTGAGGTAGTCACTAACAACACCTATGCCTTAATAGTCTAGACTGAATATAGCTAAGCTTAGCACTGCAGAGGCTTGTGGACGATATTGAGGCTCAGCCACAAGCATCTGCCAAAGTTTGGCTTAGTGTTATAGTAGATGTAGGAAATGGAAAACTGTGGTGATAAGGTTGCCAATCCTTGGTGCGGACAAACAATAGATTCCTAGCTGTCATAGAACTGAAACGTCCATGATGCTGTGCCAATCAAAAGGCTGGAAAAATCATTATGTAAGTTGTAGTAATAGACTAGAACATTTGGGGATGTATTTTCCAGCCCTGGTGTAGAGTGTAGACCAATAGCATTCATCATAACTCCAGCATCCTGCGAAGGTAAATGGGGCAAGACTGTGATATGTTGGCTTAACTGGTTCTGCCAAAACGAGGACGCAATGCCTGGAATGGGGGCAGGTCTGCTTGAGTTACGCCAGGCTGCACGCCAATCATGTAAGACATATCCACTAAGGGCAGACCCTGCAGGGAATATTGAACACTCAGGGCTCTCCGGAGAGTTCTAACGTCCTGAATATAGCTCAAACGTGTCTATTGATACACCTGCACTATGTTTGTTGGGCACAGTTTCCTATTGTCTCCAAAAGAGGGATGGTGACAAGAACAGGAACATAAAAATCAGGCCAGACCTGTTGAAATTAGAACAGTTACGAGTCTGCAATAGGTAGTTTACAAGCAGTTGTAGATCTGCAACTACCTATGATTGTTTACTAGCCATAAATCTAGGAGATACTCTTTGGCTACCCCAGATATATGATCATTGGTTTTCCTGAGGGCTGTCTTCAGGGCAAAAGTCAGGGTTTATCATATGGCCCTTGTATTCCCTGACAAGCCAGTGGGTTCTTTTGTAATGCTTCATTGATTTGGTATTACTAGTTGTTCTGTTGATGGAGCTTGGTGGTTCTTGGTCGAACATCACTGGGTTATTCCTCTATTATGATCCACTAAGGATCCTTGAAGGTTGATTTAATAATCACTGGTAACCTTACTAGAACAACTGCACGTTTCAGAAACACAAACAGCAGGACATGTGTGCTACATGCAATAAGTGTGTGAATCTTCCAAAATGTTTGCAGTTCATAAATTGTTTAGGGACAGGTTCCTGAGCTAAAGGAATATATATTAATAACAAAGCTAAAAATCAAATAGCAGATACTGTCTCAGATAAGTTTAGATCTGAGGTTTAGATGCAAGAGAAGGGAAGAGTGCTAAGGTTTACTGGACCAGACATATATGCAAGACCTGAAGACTCTTTCACATACTTTTGATGTTCCTCCTTGGTTTGCTTGATTTTACTGTCCCAGCTGCTGTGAATGTAAGGTCTTGCTTGTTCTGAACCACTTTACTGAAGAACTTGAGCAATGGTTCACCAGTGTCTACAATCGATGTGATAGTTTGTCAAAACATCATAACAACCCATTGTAGTGGCTATGGCACAGAGTGCGTATTAGTGTATGTGTCAGTGTAAGTGAATTATAAATTCTGAAAAATTAAATACATGTTTGTCCTTTAATATTCTGCTTCCATGCAGCTCTATTGCATGTAATGTTGGGTGCGGGACATATGACTTGGTACCACCAGCTGTAACTAGACTCTAATCCCACGACCCAAAAGATGGGAGTCTGAAGCAGCAAAGGTATCTGTTTCCCACCATTTACATTTTTATCCCCCAGCCAGAGAGAATGGATAAGGGGCAAGGGGGAGAAACGTGTACCGGGACCCCCAGTAATAAATAGTATTATTTTCCATGCAAAACAAAGGTGATGGGGTGGGTTGCGGCAAGTAGTTCTGCTGTCTTCTGCCTAACTTAAAAAATAAATAAATTACACAGAAGGATCATGGATCTCCCTTCTTGTAATTAAATTAAAAATATATATAAAAAATGCATTGAATAACTTCGTACATAAAACAATTAGTTTTTTGTATTTGTTTGCTGGTTTATTGTTTTTTTTTTGTTCATTTTGTTTTATAAATGATTAATGCCTTTGTCTTTGTCTTGAAAAATCACCCAAAATTATGATGAATTTGTATTTATCTGAAAACTAATGCGTAAGTGACTTTTTATTCAGAAATTACCAAAGTGCTCGGTAAATTGCGGTGTATATTTAATACAATAGTCTAGTACAAACAGTATATGAATGTTTGGATCACAAATGATGTAGCAACAGACTTGCTTGTTTGAATTCGTCAATACTGTTCATAATCCCAGAATAAATTGCATTTAAAATGATGGGCCATCTTTAATGATATAACTAATACTGCATGTAAATAACCTGATAGGATTCAGAAGGAGGAATTGTGGATCAATGGTTCCTTAGATCCTAGTGATACTCCATGTATAATGGATGTACATAAGGCTTATCCATAACAAAATTGATCTGGGAAACTCAGAGGGTTTTAAAAGAAATAGATTGCTAATGTACCTGGCATTTAGTGAGTTAATGCAAACTAAAGCTTATATGTTCTTTGTTTAGTGTTTTCACAATGTAAACCATAATTTGTCTTAAAGGACCATTAAAGGCATCCAGACCACTTAATCTCAATGGATACAATGACCCTTTAGTTTAACCCTGGATTGTAGAACATTGCCGTTTAGTAGATATGGCAATGCTATTATTGCAGTGCTAAACACACCTCTAGTGTCTGCTGCCTATCTTCCTGACAGCAGCCCCTAGAAGCACTTTCACACTCATAACACACTCAGTCATGATGTGACATTCAATGTCCTTGCGTATTGCATGAGGACTTTAAACATCATCAAATGCAGCTCGTATCAGAAGTATTTGCTTGGATGTGCACACATGTACAGTTTAAACTGCTTATTTCACTTAATAGGCATAGGCACCCAGTCCCCTTCATCTCAAATTAAATTGTCTGGGTGCCATTCCCCAGCCTTATTAATCGTTCAACTGAAAATGTTGTTGTTTAGTAGATTCCGCAATGTTTTCATTG